GATATGGAGGAGAAAAAACGTTACAACAGGAAAATTGAAAGTGTTGCTGTAGGAGAAGGATTATATCTCAAGCCCTATAGAAAGGGTTATGGTTTCTTTCTTAAGCCCTATAGTAAAGGGAAAGGAATTAAGAAGCGAAAAAACTAATTTCTCTGCTACCCAAGAGACCACTATCAAATATCGACATTATACATTTTGCTAAGAAATATGTCGCACATTTTAGAGGGGTGTTTATGAGAGATCTACTCCCACAAGCACCAAAAAGTCGGGAGTGTGGTATAGTAAACCTAGATAATTCACGATCAAGTGGTACACATTGGGTTGCATATAATAAAAATTAAAATAATATACATTATTTCGATTGTTTTGGAAATCTTCAGCCACCTAGAGAAGTTGTGAAATACTTGGGACATAGAATACAATACAACTACGATAGAGTTCAAGACTTTGATACATACAACTGTGGACACCTGTGTCTCGCTTATCTACTTTCTTTCGTAGAAAATGTGGAGTCAGAACCGGTAAATTTAAATGGTTAATTTACATTTGGGGGGTTGAAAATCAGTGTATGGGTACGTGTATGTGTGAACTCTGTGTAGTATAAAAAGTGGACCTGCACGCGTTCAAATTCACAGTCTATGTTCTTACTTCACATCAATCGTCATCTAGAGGACAAGAACTTTTGATCATTCTTAACAAAAAAAAAACCGCTCACAACAGTTCAAAACAGCTGGTGACCAACTTATAACAACTAGTAAACAACTAGTAAACAACTAGTAAACAGCTACTAAACAGATAATAACCATCTAATAACATCTATTAACCAGCTAAAACAAGTAGTAAGCAACTACGAAACAAGTACTGAACAACTGCTAAGCAGGTAGTAAACATCAAAATACAGCTAAATACAACGTGGAACATCTGTACAAGTCCAAAAACCTCAGCAACCATCATGAATCAGGAAAACCAGATGAACATTATAATTAAAGAGTTCAATAAATTTAATAAAATGACACTGCTATCGAAGACAAGGATGCCTCAAAATGTAAGATTCCCGATCCTCAAGGCGGAGCGCAAAACAACAAAGGTTGGAGAATCAATTGCTCTCGAGTTGGAGGAGCACATTCTGTACATGCCGGAAAGGTACACCTCTCTTCAAGATGATATCATCAATGAAATGGTTGATGAAAAATTTTATATTTATAAATGTAATGACAATGTGTATTTAGAAATAAGTCAGTAATCATTAAAAAGATTGAGATTTTAAGAATATAAGATTAAATACATATTTTTAAATATAATTTAGAAAAAGTATCGAATCCTTTTAATTCGGAAATGGTATATAAATATTACAGATTATGGCGTTCCCTAAACAGTATTTGTTTAGTAACTGACTTTTACCTATAAAATTTGTAAAATATACTACAATGAATATTCCCTTCAGTTACAAAAAAAAAAAGTTTCACTTGTGAATCACTTTGTGAATCCCGTGGGACATGTCCTCTTGCACAAGTGAAGAACAAGTGAGAATTTTATGGGATGTCCGAATTTTCACAAGTGAAAATTCAAATGAAAATTTTTCAAATTCCCACGGGATTTTACTTGTTCCTTATACTCATTTTTCGTATGGCCTGTCACGTGCAGGTGACACGTTCCAAGTGAAATCACTTGTGAAAATCAGAATTTTTCAATGAATTTTTATTAACTTTTAAATTTATTTTTATTAAATTTATGTTTTCTGTAAAAGGACAATTATTGTTAGTAAGCCTAGTTTTATGTTACGTTAATTTGCTTTTTACATTGGTCATCGCATTCCTTAAACCTTCGTCCGCGTCCACCGAATCCTTGGCCAACGCTCCTGAAAAAATGTATGGGCATATGTTTAATAAATGCGTTTTATTTGTTTATTTGCATATTTACCTTTTAGAGCTGTTTTTCACCCTTTGCAGGATTTTTATTGGCGCAAAACATTTCATCATCCACTTTCGGCTAACGGAACCCATTAAATACCATAAAAATTTACGTACTTTAAGCTAAGTTCATTGCACAACATCTTAAACTCACCTTAAAAAACGAAAAAAGTAAATCTGCCGCGCACAACTTAAATGGCTTGCTTCCCTTTCAATAACTCAAACAGTATGAACCAAGTCTTCCTCTCACGCCCTTTCTTGATTTCTTTTGTTTTCTTTTCGCCGTTGGCGCGTGCCACTGCAGCTATACCCTTTCTAAAGCGAAAAATATCCGACTGTATAATTTTTACTTCTTAAGTAAAAATACAATAAAAGTTTTTTAAAAATGGTAATATTAAATGTTTTAAATATTTAAATCAATTTAAACGGACTAAATTTCTATAACCTAACTAAAAAATTATATATATTAAGCATAACATTATAAGTAAATTCAAGTTACTTAATTTTTCTATAATCAAATAATTTACTTTTATAAAACAATATTAGTTTTTATTTTGGATATACAATAATGCTCCTAAAATATTAGGGCATTCACATGTGCTGCGCCAGGAAAATCTATCCGCCGAAACATTAGTCGCTAGCCGAACATAACGAAGAGATGCAAACGAAGTAACGGACCGGCCGAAATTTGTCTCTGAGAGCGCCGAGTGCTGGCAGATTATAAGACAAAGAAAGAGAGGGAACCTCCGAATATCTGCATCTCTTTGTTGCACGATCGTTTTCGTAGGCAGTTTTCTACGCTGCGTCGACTTCTCTTCTGACGTCAACAGTGGCACGGCGTTTTAGGCATAAAAAAAAAGACAAGAAAGCTTTTTGCCTTGAGCCATGTCTCCGCGTCCCTACTGCAGAACTGAAGGGTTTTGTCACAGTTAACCAAAGCTAGATTTGCTTTGAAGCGAAAATTCGATGATCTCAAACAAGTCAAAAATCTTACGAATTTACAATTGGAGGAAACTTTTAAACCTATTACTGAACCCATACATGAACTTGTTAAGGAAAATAAAAAACAAAAGATTTCTAATGTGAATGATTTCTAAATGAAGCAAATTAAAAACAAGGAAGAACGGTATAGTCGAGTACCTCGACTATCAGATACCCGTTACTCAGCTAAATGGAGATATGCAAGCAGCAAAGCGAGATTTAAATGCGCCACCTACCGGCGGTAGACAGTTTTAAGAGTTACGGGCGTGGCAAATTTTTTTTTGGATCAATCGGTTTTGACGAGACCAATACATTTCAGTTAAGATTTTTATACCCGTTACTCGTAGAGTAAAAGGGTATACTAGATTCGTCGGAAAGTATGTAACAGGCAGAAGGAAGCGTTTCCGACCCCATAAAGTATATATATTCTTGATCAGGATCACAAGCCGAGTCGATCTAGCCATGTCCGTCTGTCCGTCTGTCTGTCCGTCCGGATGAACGCTGAGATCTCGCAAACTATAAGAGCTAGGCTATTGAGGTTTGGCGTGCAGATTCCTGAGCTTCTTACGCAGCGCAAGTTTGTTTCAGTAGAGTGCAGTGAACCATATATATAGTCGCAAAATTGAAAATATGGAATGGTAAATATAGTTAGTTATTAAAATTTCCTGATCAAAATAACGGAGTGTCAAATACGCATACGTCTATTTTTATTTAAATTATATAAGAACGCTAATTTTAGAAAAATATGTTATTTTAGATATCTTAACGCAATTTATAATATATAATATATAATATATAAGTACTAAGCCTCACCCCCCGATGGCGTCACCATCGCAAGATAAATTTACTATAGTGTAGTACATTCTCGTAGATGGCTACTGTCAAAATTTTAGCAGAATCGGACTCGTAGTTTTGTTTTGACTGCGTGTGGAATCCGACGTGTCCGCGGATTTTAGAAAAATGGAGAAAGAGCAATATCGGTCTGTGATTCGATTCTTGTTTTTGGAAGGGAAATTGGGCAGCAAAATCAAAGAACGCTTGGACGCTGTGTACGGTGACTCTTCTCCTTCGATGGCAACCGTCAAAAATTGGTTTATCGAGTTTCAACGTGGTCGCACGTCGGTTTTTGATGAGCCACGCCCAGGTGCCCCGTAAAACAGCTACCACGGAGGATAACGTGACAAAAATGCACGATCTCGTATTGGCAGACCGCAGATTGAAGATACGCGAGATAGCTGAGACAGTAGGTACGTCAAAAGACCGCGTGGGTCATATCCTGCATGAAATTTTGGGCATGAGAAAGCTGTCGGCGCGATGGGTGCCGCGTTTGCTCACTCCGGACAACAAACGCAACCGTGAGGCCACTTCTGAGCAGTGTTTGACGCCGTTTAAGCGCAATCCGAAGGAATTTCTGCGTTGTTTCGTGACCGTCGACGAAACATGGATCCACTGGTACACACCAGAGACCAAGGAACAGTCAAAACAGTGGACTTCACCCGGCGAACCTGCTCCGAAGAAGGCGAAGACGGTCCCATCAATCGGAAAGGTGATGGCCACCGTTTTTTGGGATTCACAAGGTGTGATCTACATCGACTACCTGGAGAAGGGAAAAACGGTCGCAAGGCTGTTCTATGCCGAATTATTGGGTCGATTCGCCGCCGAATTGCAGAAAATACGGCCCCATTTGGCGAAGAAAAAAATGCTCTTCCATCATGACAACGCACTGGCTCACACTTCCGCCCTCTCCAAGGCCAAATTGGTCGAATTGGGCTACGAACTGCTACCCCATCCACCAAATACTCCAGATTTGGCCCCATGTGACTTCTTTTTGTTTCCAAACTTGAAAAAGTCACTCGCTGGACAGAAATTTGCGTCGAATGAGGAGGTCGTCGCCGCCACAGAGGCCTATTTTGCAGACCTCAAGAAAACGTATTTTTCAGACAGGTTAAAGAAGTGGGAGCATCGCTGGGTCAAGTGCATCGAGCTAAAAGGAGATTTAGAAATAAATCGACACTTTTCAAAAATGTTCGGAAAGAAGCTCTAATTACCATGTGCTTGTGGTAGCTAACGAAAATGCCCAAGTGCCGACAAAATTTCACTTCGGGCACCATGGGGACGCCCGAAACATGTGCTCTTGCTCAGGGTAGCGTATATCAGTTGCCCGGCCATAACGCGAACCCTGGTGTCATGTACACCATCGGACAGGGTCATACGCTAATATACTCATCGCTGCCAGCCAGCACAGTTGTTAGTCCTGAAAATCATACAGGTAACTTCAACCAGGGTAACAATACTAGCGTGTACGCAGAACACAACAATCCCAGCGTTTATGCACAGGGCAAAATGACCATGGGCCACGGCAACCCGGAAGGCCAAAATCAGTTGGCAAACTTAAACCAGGTAATCAATTCGGGTGTTTTCACACACAGCAACACCATCGGATCCGGACACATTACCGGACAATCGGGTTCAGTGATCCTGGCAAACCCAGGCAACGGTTGCATCCCAATCAGCAACACAAACAACGTGGGCCACAGCAACCCGGAGGGCCAACTGATCTTCAACCAGGGCAACACCAACGCCCCGGGAAATACCCTTGTATACTCAAGGACGGGCAACCTGGGTAACTGCAACATAGGAAGCCACAACATGTATGGATAACAGTATCAATACTTATGTGAACCCCTACTGTCAGGGAAACACCATTGCTTCCGGATATATCACTGGTAGACAGTCTTCCGTGAATTCGGGCCACGTCTCCATGCCGGGACACAGATCAAATAACATGTTTAGAACTAACCCGGTTAGCCTTGTCATGCGTGCAATCAATGGAGCAAACACCCTGGCAAATGCGAACCCGGGCAACAACAACAATCCAAGCAACCAATTGGATTCCAAACCGGTTTGTTCCAAGGCCAAAAATTGCCAGGGAATACCGGCAACAAAAGAACAGAAGAAAGATAGCTCGAACTCTTCGGATGAGGAGGCACAGCTTAAAATATAGCACTTTCATTTTCTTACTCACTTACAACTCAAATACTATTATAAGACAAGAAAATAAAGAAAAATTCAACAAACTTACTAACTTACTTTTATAATCCAATTACAATGTATGACTTAAATAAAATTAAAAATAAAAATGAAAAACTACCAAAATCTCTGTTTTCAAGAAAAAAAAAATTAACTTTTTTTAATATATTATAAGTCCTAGGTTTTCAGTAATCTATGGGATAGATATACTGTGTTCACGCGATTCACCCTTTAGTTTCATGAAATTGGCTTATTCGTGTGCGCGTAAACATTGTTGTTGTTGTTAGTGTAAAGTCAATAGAAATTGGTCTGCGCGATTTCTTTGTCACCCCTGGTTAATTCTTCTCGTACTGATTCCATCATTCCAAAAACACAACTTCAGAATTTTAAATCTGATACTGACGCTTATATTAGTTTATTGAATTTCATAAATTTTGCAGTTACCATAAATGTTTAATTATATTCTTCTTTTATGCCAAGTAAAATTAATAGGAATGGGCAATAGCAAAAGTGTGTTTTTGTTTTAGCTTCCGTCTGTGTAGGTATTTTACTTTCGATAATCTTATCGTTAAATGTGTCTTTTCGATTGTTAATCTGGTCACATTGCATACAAATGTGACAGTTTCATTACTACAAAAACAAAGCGATTTGACAAAATAAAAACAATTAATTCCCATTGCTGATACCATTTTTAATAAAAAAGTAAGTGGCCAATATGCACATTCTCTAAAAGTATTCGAGTATGTGTTCTTATTCATCGTCACTTTGCACTTCGACTCCAAATTCACCTGTGTAGTATAGTGTTTTATATAAAAGCAATTAAAGATGGGAAATCCTGCGGATCGCCAACTGATTACAAAACAATTGAATCAAACTTGATGTGTTCTATTTGCAATACCTATAGTTTGTGCTTACACTTCTTATTAGGTCCCAACTAAATTTGTTCATGCATATGTACATTTATACAAACATATATAAAGCACTTTAAACCTTAAGATAGTTTTCTTTATCTCATATTCTTGTATTTGGACACGTTCGGCTGATTGATTTCATCATTTACATTACAGTTCGCTACATATAATTGTTTAACTTAATTTACTAAAACTAAAAACACAAAAATCTATCTCGAATTTTTATATATCTGCACGCTTGGTATGCCAACAAAAAAGCATAATGTATTACCGACTATCGGGTAAATGTTATTTGTTAATGTTTAATTGGTAAAACTAAACATAGTTCTAGGAACAAGTCAAGTACAATAAAAACAAGGAAGAACGCTATATATACCCGTTACTCAGCTAAATAGAGATATGCAAGCAGCAAAGCGAGATTAAAATGCTCCACCTACCGGCGGTATACATATTTAAGCGTTATGGGCGTTAGAGTGGGCGGGACAAATTTTTTTGGATCAATCGATAGGTATTGACGAGACCAATACATTTCAGTTAAAATTTTTTATCTACCATACAAATTGTGGGCGTCAAAGGTTTTCGCGGTTTGTGGGCGTTACAGTGGGCGTGGCAAACTTTTTTTTAGGTCAATCGATAGGTATTGATGGGAACATTACATTTCAGTTAAAATTTTTATTCTAGCATCAAAACTGTAGGAGCCACAGTTTTGGGCGGCTTGTGGGCGTTAGAGTGGGCGTGGCACATTGCTGAAACAAACTTGCGCTGCGCATGAATCTCAGGGATCTGCATGTCTAATCCCAGTATTGTAGCTCCTATAGTTTCCGAGATCTCAGCGTTCATACGGACAGACGGACAGACGGAGAGGCGGACATGGCTAGATCGACTCGGCTAGGGATCCTAATCAAGAATATATATACTTTATGGGGTCGGAAACGCTTCCTTCTGCCTGTTACATACTTTCCGATGAATCTAGTATACCCTTTTACTCTACGAGTAACGGGTATAACTAGTTTTCTAAGCTTGCAAGTATCAAACTCACACACATAATAATTATTGCATGCGGCAAAAAAAAAGCAAAACCGGAAAATCGTTAAAAGTATGCAGATTTAGTTTTCCAAGAAAATCCGGAAATTACGGTGGCAGACCGATAAGTACTTAGCCTCACCGCCCGTTGGCGTCACTATCGCAAGAGAAATTTACTACCGTGTAGTACAAGAGACCGCGTGGGTCATATCATGCATGAAATTTTGGGAATGAGAAAGCTGTCGGCGCGATGGGTGCCGCGTTTGCTCACTCCGGACAACAAACGGACCGTGAGACCACTTCAGAGTTTGACGCTGTTTAAGCGCAATCCGAAGAAGTTTCTGAGTTGTTTCGTGACCGTCGACGAAACATGGATCCACTGGTATACACCAGAGACCAAGGAACAGTCAAAACAGTGGACTTCACCCGGCGAACCTGCTGCGAAGAAGGCGAAGACTGTCCCATCGGCCGGAAAGGTGAGAGCCACCGTTTTTTGGGACTCACAAAGTGTGATACACATCGACTACCTCACAGGGCTGTACTATGCCGAATTATTGGTCCGATTTGCCGCCGAATTGCAGAAAATACGGCCCCATTTGGCGAAAAAAAAAGTGCTCTTCCATCATAAAAACGCACCGGCTCACACTTCCGCCCTCGCCAAGGCCAAATTGGTCAGTAGTATGGAAACGCGGATTCTGGAACAACTAGCATATTAATGGCTAAACCACCCCTCCCCGCCTCATAACGGTTGCGGTTTCTGGGACAATTAGCATAGTCCAACAACACAAACTGATTTTAATGGACTTTGAAGTCATAAAAATGTCACGATCATGTCTATGAAGAGTAAAATTAATTGCCCCCATCGCCCCCACATCCCCATGTGACAATATTGATCATGTATCCTTCCCCTCATTATGTGCAATTAATGTCAAGGGATAGTGTTTCCTATGATTGTAAAACTAATTAAGAAATCAAAAGAACCCCATTAAAATAAATCAAGTTAGTGATTCTCAGATGTGGAACATTTTCAAATACATTTTTGTTTCCGCCCCAGAACGTTTAACTGGTAAATTGTCTAAGATTCTCTCCTTTCCACAAATGGTTCAAAACATGTCATAAAAGGGACTCAAGCAAGAGCTACCCGAATATGCGCACCTGTCAATTACCTGACTGCAATAAAAGGGACACATGCACAACCCAGAAGGCGCACGCTCATTGACAAGTGCAATAAAAGGGACACATGCACAACCCAGAAGGCACACGCTCATTGACAAGATCATGGGCCTCACGCCAACGACCTCACGGCTAACTGCTAGCTCTAATACGTTACCATCATAGGAGTTGAAATCATGACCGCGCAACAACTCGCAAGTAGCCGACATATCTCAGTCAGAAAATATTTTCCATTCTCCGTACCTGTAATTTTAACTCGAAATAAAAAGTCAGAAGTTTATTTTGTAGCATAACAATACATTTATTCATTTATTTTGGTATTGCGAACATTCGTATTATACATAGAAATTAATTTTCTGCTTTGATTCCGGCGATTTGCATAGAAGAAGCAGGCGCACGTTTCCGACGTCATTTCTGGAATACAAAATGTAAAGTGTTCACCATAATTCGTAGTTTTGAGATCATGTCCACCTCGATTCATGAACATAGTTTTTGTGTTTAGAAGGTATTGAAAATGCTGACCAATTATCTGTCCTTTAAATTGTTCAATAAATTGGTCAATTTCCTCATTAAATTTCATTTTGCTAATTTTATTTTCTTGTAGGTCTTTACACATCTGGTCTCAACTTTAAAATGATGTATATAAATTATTTTATTGTTTTGGAGCTACTTTTAAAAAATGTCAAAATAGTGTATGCATTGTTAAGAGCACACCCCGCCCTTAAGGTGTGTTTCACAATAGGGAAACCGGTTTCCTTTAAACCCGTTTAATGACGGACGACTCCCAAAAAACGTCTGCAGAAATCGTTTCTTTTCCACACCATTACAAATAATTTGTTTTCCGCTTTAATTGTCCTTAGATACTTTCGAGCTTGTGGAAAACTATTTTCTCCATCGTTCCAAAAAATTTTGTGATGTGAATTGGTTAACCAAATTGCAGTCTTTCGAGATTTTGTATTTAGCAAAGTAAAATCATATGGTGGTTCTATTAAAAAACTATTATTCAAGTTTGGATCTTTTTCGAATACAATTCAAATTTCCTTTAGAATAAAATTATTATTACTATCAAAGAAACCTTGAACATCAATCGAAACAGTATCTTTCAACATTTTTCTAATGTTAAACAACTCGTTGTACTATTCCTGTTTATGGGGAAGACAACAAATATGCCACCCTTATAGTTATAACTAATAAAGCACGAATAGGTTACATTAAAATGTACTGCGTTTATTCGGAGCGGCAGACGGACTGTGTAAAAGCTCGGCTCCAAGAACTTCATATAAACATTTGCAGGCTTACAAAGTAGTTGCTGAATAGATAAGCGACAGCTTTAGTGGTATAAGAAGGAAGGCGACAAAGATAAGCAGAGAGCGCTGCAGGTGCCGTCGTACACCTATGCGCGCATGACTAGGCGCTGGCGATCTGCTCCGAACAATTCCGTTTAATGGGTTATATTCAACTAAACGGTCATGTATGAGGAGACAGTAAGCTTGGGTATTTTCATGACTTGGTGTCTTCAGTTCTATTGAAATTCCCACATCAATAGGACCAGTTTTCACTGATTCGTTTTGATATGAAAGATCAACCACAATAATAGGGGCCTTCAATTTAAATTCATTTGGAGTCAAAAAAGGTAACTAGATTGAAATCTTGTACACATTCCATATAGGTGAGCATACTGATTCTTACTAATATCAACATTCAGATTATCATATGGATATGACTCAGAATTGAAGTGAACTTTCAAGTTTGATAAGTTATTTGTGATAAGTTCTCTATTTAGTGTAAATCCAATTATGGCAAATCTTGGTTTTTCGCGGTTAGCCGACAGTTTCACATTCCAGCTTTGTCGACTTCCGTACCCCAA